AAAATTTGGTAAAAAACACCATCCGAAAAATTCTGTGGTAGCGTTTAAAAAGTTCGATGTCTTATTATCACAAAAACCTAAAAAAAAAAAAAAAAAAAAAAGTTGAATAGCGTCCTTGTTAAAGTCTTACGATAAGGAAAAAAAAAAAGATTTCTGCGAACTGTGAACCAACTGATGGCAGTGATTGTGTCGACAGTGAACGTCTTCCAACATGATAAACATTCTCCTCTCAGCATGTCTCGTCTTTCAAAGTTACGATAAATTTAAAAAAAAAATGAGCGTATTGTATCAGTTATTTTTTTAATCTCTTAAATATTTATACATATATCGCTTCTGGTGTGGCTGCTTCCTTTTCACAACCGCCCCCTACATAATATTACTGAATGAAAAAAAAAAAAACCCGATAATAAGCAGCATCTGTTATGAGTTACGGTTGAACTCAGGTAAAGAGGTTGAGTTTTTTTTTTCTGAGGCGACTAATACATTAATCAATAAAGAGCCAAGGTTATGGTATAGGACTTTCTGCAGGGCTAATGTTTCATTGCCGGAAGGAATATTGTTTAAAGACATGCAATTAGGGTTGTAGGACTGGCTGTACGACTATTTAAAAAAAAAAATTGAAAATGAGAAGTTAACTCTTATTTTTGTTAGCAATTGGACCCACTGGTTATTTTCTCAAAATATATGGACCCAGTGTAAAAAAACAACAACAACAACCTAAAAAAAAAAAACCTTCCCCCGTTAGGCCCTAGTGTAAATATATTTTTGGGTTGAGGAGCAAATCGCAAGAGCACCCTTTATGGGCAAACTCGATCACACACGAGTGCTTTGAATTTAACCACAACAACAAACAAACAAACAAACAACGATTACGGGGTGGGGGTGAGTGGATTAGCAAAAGGGTGGGAGGGGGAGATGACTGATTTAGTGTTATATATTTGTTGTTAATATTTGTTGTTAATATTTACATACACTCCTCAAGAACTATGATAACATGTTATTTGTTCAGGCTACCGGCTTGAGGCCAGGCTGCGACTGATGAGGAGTGAAGAGCTCTAGCTTGATAAGACGCCGGGGTAGTTCCACTTGGATTACCCAGTGGCGATGATGTTGAGGTTGGTGGGGGGGGGGGGGGGGGGGTGGGGGGTAAAACTCCTACAATTATAAACATATTTTGTATGGGTTAATTTTGTAACTCAGCTTAATTCATTATTATTATTTCTTTAAAATAAAAAATACGTACGCAAACGTTACTATAATTTCATGATTCATTGGTTGGGGGGGGGGGGAGCGTTTTATTTTTCTAGTCGATAGTAATTTTAAGGTCACGTGGTCTGTTTGTTTATTTCGTGTACAGCAATGTACCACGCTCATTGCTAAACTTTAAACGAAGTGAATTTATTGTTTCGTTGTCTTTTTCTACCCTTTTACTACCCTAAATTAATCTATGTTTTACAGATGCCATAAAAAAGTTTGCATTACTGTATTAAAAAATATTTGATTTTCCAAGTAATGTTATATGTGGGTCAGTAGGGACACTGGGTTAGTAGGGAAAGTGGATCAGTAGGGACACTGGGTCAGTAAGGAAAGTGGGTCAGTAGGGACACTGAGTCAGTAGGGAAAGTGGGTCAGTAGGGACACTGGGTCAGCAGGGAAAGTGGGTCAGTAGGGACACTGGGTCAGTAAGGAAAGTGGGTCAGTAGGGGCACTGGGTCAGTAGGGAAAGTGGATCAGTAGGGACACTTGGTCAGTAGGGAAAGTGGGTCAGTAGGGACACTGGGTCAGTAAGGAAAGTGGGTCAGTAGGGACACTGGGTCAGTAGGGACAGTGCACAATTACAGGCGTGATGTACTCGTTATCCTTAACTTAATAAATAAGTATGTTTGAGTGTGTATGTGTGTGTGTGTGGGGGGGGGGGTCAGGTAGCTACTGCTATTTAAAGTTATTTAAGAGATAAACGTGTCCCCTCCCTCAATGAGGGACCCATTATAGCAACGCCTTTGATTAGGTGTGTGTGTGTGTGTGTGTGTGTGTGTGAGGTGGGTGGGCTGGGGTAAGCAACTATTATAGAAATACAACGATGGCCTCATTATCAACAACGTCTTTGATTGTGTGTGTGGGGGGGGGAGGGGGTGAGGAAGGTGGGTCATTTGATTGCCTTTGATTGCCTATAAAATGATTTACTCGATGACTGCTGTCAATCCCTCCTCTTCTATCTTAAAGCGCCCGTCCCCCCGGTGAAGAGCAGAAGATGCGTGGCTCAAACTTCCTGTGCTGCGTCTGGCTCCTGAGTCTCCTTGTTATGGGTATGTTACAATAATTGACACATTTCTTTTGTACTTGTACACAGGAAAGGTTGTCCTATCCACAAAATGTACACACATTGTAATGTGGCAAATCAGAATCAATCATCAACCATTGTAGAACCATGAGTCAGACATTTTTGTTTATATAATGGAAATAAACTGTGCCGAGACAATGTCCTAAAAGTTATACTCTTCTCTGTTTTTTTTTTTTGTGTGTGGCTATTCATACGTTTAATAAAACTTTCACATAAAAGTGATGTGGATAATTTTGAGCCTAAGTACTAAAATAGGTTACCTTAGGTGGACAATGTTGCTCATTCTGGCTAACAAAAATATTGAATTTTTATTTTTAATAATTTTTTTCTTTACGATCTACATTTTACAAATCCCTCTTTCCTGAGTAGAACTTCTTCATGGTTGAAATGATATCACAATATTTAAAAAAAAAAAAAAAAAAAAAAAAATAAAAATATTTAATTTTTTTTTTTAATAATTTTTTTTTTTAAGATCTACATTTTACAAATCCCTCTTTCCTGAGTAGAAATTTTTTATTGTTGAAATTATATTATAATATTTAAAAAAAAAAAAAAAAAAAAAAAGGGGGCTTTGTTAATAAATAAACTGATGATTTTCTTTTATGATACAGTCAGTTTGGTGAGAAATTTCTGTGTTAAGTTATCGATGGTTGTACATTAATTTAGATAGTGAAATCGTTTAGGCTATGTGTGTTAAATTCTTTTAAATAAGTTATACATTAATTTTGTTTTCTTCTTACTTTTACATTTAAAGAGGCTATTTACAAATTTGTTTAGAAGTAAAAAAAATAAATAAAATAAATGTATATATATATGATGATCGTCTTCAATATTTTGTTAATATATATATATTAAAACCTGAACAGATTATTCAAGTGTTTATTATTTCTTGTATCAGCCAACTCTCTCAACATTGACGTTCAGAACACGGAGCAAGCTGCAGCGCTGGTCGTCAACTGCACCTCGAATCCCATCGACGAAAGGGAGTTCAACCTGACAAAACTGAGCTCGTTGATTCTCTCCCATTCACACAGCGGAAACGTTTCTGACTTCCGGGAGGTGGCGTCTATCCAGTCCATAACCCTTCACCCGATCGACATATTCTACGAGAACGCCACGGCCGATGGGGCCTTCCACACGGACAGAACGTCTTTCCTTAGCCTGACATGGTCGCCCCCGTCAGAGAACGCATGGGGGACTTACAAGTGCGTGGCCAACGGGATAGACAGTATAGGGCACCCTGTCTCCGTTTCCAACACTCGGCATTTCACGCGAGGAAATTTCGAGATCTTCTTGGAAGAGATAAGCAGCTTGAAGTCTGAGCTGAAAAAGCTGACAGAGGACGTGGAAGGCAACGAAAAGCTGTGTTGGTCAGAGATCGCCAAGATGAAGATCGAACTCGAAAGGTGTGATGAAAAAATTGAACGTTTCGTGAACTCTTCCAGCCAGCGGAGAGAACTCCTGGCTCACGCGCTGTTTGAAATCCCCGTCGTCTTTAATGGTCACACGTATTTTCTGTCAAGACAGGAACCAAGCCTGGTGTCAACCGTTGCCACGGCAACGTGCGAATCCTTAGGTGGCTACCTCGTTCACATTGACGACAGGAACGAGTTCTCGTTCGTCCGCGATCTGGTGAAACGGCACGCGGGCTGGAAATTCGTCCTGATTGGCGGTCTTAACGAGTCTCAAAGTGGGCAGTGGTTGATTCCGTTCTACAACGGGGGTTCCGGTGAGCCGGACGAGAAGGGAAATGAGCACTGTCTCGCCGTCGGCGTGGAATGTGCGTGTGTGATGGGTGACGTCCCTTGCATCCTCGGCGATAATGAGTCACTTCCGGCCAGATTTCTTTGTGAGATCCCGTAATGGAAAGACTGTATTTAAGCAACTTTTTTTCTGCATGACACTTTAAATATTTAACCTTACCAACCTTGAATAAATTGGCCGCTTGCTTCGTACAATCTGTGAATTCCCCCCTTCATATTTATTATTTTTCTTAGTTCGTCTTGTATAGGCTATTAAATGATTTCTCTAGTTCCCAATGCATCTGCCATTTAAATGGTACATAATAATTAATCAGATCCTCTCTTACTTATGATCCTCAATCTCCATGTACTTATTTTCTTATTTCTTTTATTTTACATATTTACAAAATCTTATTCTTTCACAGCAATGATTCATATATTTGTTCACTTCCTGTACTCTTAGTTTTGGAAAAAAAAATCAACTTCCGGCAATACATGAATATGGCGGACACTTAGGTTTAAACAAAAAATACTTTCTATTTCTTATTTCTTTTAATATGCAAAGCAATACAAAAAAACAAAAAAACAACAACAACAAAAACAAAAACAAAATCTGAGATGCCATTTTTATTATTGATATTTCAATGAAATTCTTTCTTATTTCTTTCAACTAAACGGGAAGGAACTACCGAAAAGATCTTAATTTAAAAGAAAATTATTACTCTTTTAACTTAAGAGTAAAATAAAAAAAAAGGACGTCAGCGATTCAAAAGATTAAATTATCGAATTCCGACATGCTTTCCGATCATTAACACCAGAGGAGTGCAGAATCTAGCAGAAGAATTGATGAACAAGTTGAATAGAATAATTTTTGCCTTTTTTTTTTTTTTTAAAGAGGGGAAGTAATTTGTTGAAGAAATTCTGCTTATGGTTTAAATGCAAAATAATATTAACGCAGTTGCAGCCCTTTGCCCATAGAATTTCAACCAGGCTTTGAGAAAAAAAAAAGCCGCTCAGAGCGATAAGATTGAAAGAACTTGAGGTTAGGGAAAAAGATTTGGGTGAGACAGTATAGAGGTAGGGAGAGATGGTGTTACTTTTCAAGGGGTGGAGTTGTGGGCCTAGGAGTTCAGTCTTTGGCTCGAGGAGAGGGCGTAGGATGAGATTTTATGGGTCAAGATGAAGGAACGTGCAGAGCAGAATCGAACGGGGAGGGGAGTTGGGGGGCAGGGGGCATGTCGGTAAGATGATGAGGATGACCCGGGGGCGGGAGGGTTCAATGGCAGGGAGAAATAAGTGGACAACACCAATAAAATGATGTTATTTAGAGAAATAAGTGGACAACACCAATAAAATGATGTTATTTAGAGAAATAAGTGGACAACACCAATAAAATGATGTTATTTAGAGAAATAAGTGGACAACACCAATAAAATGATGTTATTTAGAGAAATAAGTGGACAACACCAATAAAATGATGTTATTTAGAGAAATAAGTGGACAACACCAATAAAATGATGTTATTTAGAGAAATAAGTGGACAACACCAATAAAATGATGTTATTTAGAGAAATAAGTGGACAACACCAATAAAATGATGTTATTTAGAGAAATAAGTGGACAACACCAATAAAATGATGTTATTTAGAGAAATAAGTGGACAACACCAATAAAATGATGTTATTTAGAGAAATAAGTGGACAACACCAATAAAATGATGTTATTTAGAGAAATAAGTGGACAACACCAATAAAATGATGTTATTTAGAGAAATAAGTGGATAACACCAATAAAATGATGTTATTTAGAGAAATAAGTGGATAACACCAATAAAATGATGTTATTTAGAGAAATAAGTGGACAACACCAATAAAAGGATGTTATTTAGAGAAATAAGTGGACAACACCAATAAAATGATGTTATTTAGAGAAATAAGTGGACAACACCAATAAAATGATGTTATTTAGAGAAATAAGTGGATAACACCAATAAAATGATGTTATTTAGAGAAATAAGTGGACAACACCAATAAAATGATGTTATTTAGAGAAATGAGAGGGCAACACCAATAAAATGATGTTATTGATTTGGCGTTAGAGTATTTGCGGCCCGGGAGGGAATCCATGGTGCATGAGAAACCGCAAAGAGCCAAATTTATTCATTTGGAGTGCCACATTTATTCATTCAGAGTGCCTTATTTATTCAGTTAGAGTGCCACATTTGTTTCCTTCAAAGAGCCACATTTGTTCAATCAAAGAGCCACATTTTTTCATTCAGAGAGCCAAATTTATTCATTTAGAGTGCCACATTTATTCATTCAGAGTGCCACATCTGTTTCTTTCAAAGAGTTACATTTGTTCAATCAAAGAGCCACATTTATTCAATCAAAATGCCACATTTTTTTTCAATCAAAGAGCCACATTTTTTTTTCATTCAAAGAGCCAAATTTATTCAATCAAAGAGCCTCATTTTTTCATTCAAAGAGCCACATTTTTTCATTCCAGTGGCCCCAGTTGCCGAACACTGCTCTAGCATAACGAACTTTAGGATTTTTATTTTACATTACAATACATTTAAAAAAAAAGGAAGTTTTTTTTTTCTTCTGAATAATAATAATAAAAAAAAAATAAAAATAGATCCCAATATATTACTACACCGTTCGTTGATTTGTGTGCGTGCATTCTTTTATCAAGATAATTCTTTAGAAGAAATAGTAAAATCAATAGATTGTTGAGTACAGTCGTTTAAATCAGTCATGATGATTTAAAAAAAAAAAAATGAAATAAAGAATACAAATGTAAAACGCGAAAATAAACTCATGCTCAGATACCAAAAAAATATTTTATACTAGAATAGACCCCCAAAAAATTCGCCGTGTTCTGTTGGTGTTAGGTGGTTCACGACCTTTGTAACTCCGCCAGAAATAACTTCGCCCATTGTCTTGTGCCGTCGCTGCCTCCACAGAGTCGAACGTCTTATCACCGTCACATGATACGTGAACTCTAGGTGCTGTCAGTGGCGTATCTCCTCGAGAGATAGGGCCGCTGTGAAGTAGAGTGTCAAAGAAATTGGGTTATTAGATAGATTCTTCCAACATCCCGTGAAAGACTTTTGATTTCACTTGCCATGGCTATTCATCATAAAAATTATGATGATCGTCTTCAATATTTTGTTTATTAAACTTGAGAATCAGTAGCGAATTTAGTTTAACTTTGTTTCGTGTCTTCAGCAAGAGATTTACATTTTTGGTTATATTTTGTAGATTTACTCAAAACTAAAAATCAAGTCCGAATTAAAAGCGAATGTTAATTGATTGAAAAGCAAACTCATTTTAAAATCTTAAAAAAACAAAACTTTGATTTAGTGTGTTTAGTGCAAAATCTTCGGACGGCTAATTGACCCACCTCCCGTCAACCTGTCGAGCTGAAACATGGCACATAGAATTGTTGCCGGTGACAGCACACTATTTGACATTTTCAGCCCCACCCCCAACTCCAACTCCTTAAAGAATTTTTTTCCTCTATTTCAAGTGAGTATGAGTTCACGAAATAAAATTCGTGCAATGAGAGAGCTACATTGTGATCTGCGAACACTTAAGTGAGAGCGCTACATTGTGATCTGCGAAGTTTTCAATTTCAAATAATTTGTTATTTCTATTTTGTTGTGTTTTGTATTGTCTGCTAAGGAAGGCATTTAGCCCCCCCAAAAAACCCCCCGTATGTTTTATTAGTCCTGTATCTTGTCCCAAATATTTATTTGCGTTTTAATTTCAGTTTTTTTAAACCATATTTATTCGTTTCGCTCATTTCGATCAAGTGGAAACGCCTCTGTAAAACACTATTTATTGTAATTTGCCGTTGTGTTTTCGCGTGACTGCGGTGTAAACACCAGACTAAGACTGGCGGACGTCTGTATCAGAAACAAGAGTGACGCGATGAACATGAACATTTGGGCGTTTGTCTCTTTCTTCGTGGTCACCAGAGCAGGTATTTATAATCAATAACTAAAAATCGTGCTAACGTAAAGATTTTTTTTGGTCACAGCTTTTAACCACTTATATCAACGTATATAATGCCGTCGTTTGCTTTATAAAGTATTTAGCTATAAATATTGCAGTTCATTTTCTACATCTTTTTATCATTGTCTGAAATATTCGTTTTCCTTAAAATAAATATCATTGGTGTTAAACGTTCAACGAAGGCTTCCGGTCGATACACAAGTCTTCTGTTTATTTTTTTCCCAAATATTGCTTTATCATTTTCCGAAACATTCATTTTCATTTTAAAAAATGTCATTGATATTGCTGTATGGTAGACGAAGGCTTCCCATCGATACACAAGTCTACTGTTTAATTATTTCCCAAATCTTTGATTTTGTTTTCAAGCCTTAATTCGCTCCCCCACTTCATCTTATATTCATTGCAATATTTTGACCAGTAAAGCTGCAAAAAAAAAAAAAAAAAAAATTGCGCTAATGATTTTGATCTTTATCATAAGCACTGCAGATCGAAGTCAACTTTCCCAAATCTTTGATTTTTTTTTCAAGCCTTAATTCGCTCCCCCACTTCATCTTATATTCATTGCAATATTTTGACCAGTAAAGCTGCAAAAAAAAAAAAAAAAAAATTGCGCTAATGATTTTGATCTTTATCATAAGCACTGCAGATCGAAGTCAACCCAGCTAAAGTACAACTTGGCGTCACCAAGGACCTTCAAGTTCGATGCACGTTCACAGCTGGGAAAATCCCCACCATCACGAGACTTTTCTACCTGTTGATTTCCCACTCCAACGCAACAACCGAGGAGCCCGATTTCCAATACCTTGCGCTGATCAATCTCTTTGACGGGCAGATCAACGTCTTCTCTCAGGAATTCACATCGGCTAACGGATACATCAACACGAGGGGGGAGTCTTTCATTGCAGTCGTCTGGAAAGATCCGAAATCGACGACGGCCGGCGCGTACAGATGTGACGCCAATGGGGTTGATTTTATCGGACGCCCGAGGACGCTCTCAGAGACGGCCACAGTTGAAGCCGCGAGTCCCGGCGTTGATGTTTTCTTGAAGGAGATGGCGAACTTGACATCGCACCTAGCGCACCTCGAGAGGACCGTCAGCGAGTTCAGAGAACAAACCGCGAACCTGAGATTGTTCCAGGATACAATGAAAAGCAGGTTAGCGTTGGTGCTCAAGTCCATGTTTGATGAATCGGAGGTCTTCATGGGGAGGAGATATTACTTGTCAAAAGACGTCACGTCGTTTGCGCCGTCGACCGGAGGAGCCGCCTGCGCGATGTTCGGCGGATACCTCGCGGAAATCGAAAGCAACGACGAGTTCCAGTTTCTGAGAGAGTTCATCATCGTCAGCAATAGGAATATGAGCGTCGTCATGACGGGGGCCACGGACGCCAATGAGGAGGGACACTGGATTTTGAGTCAAAGCCGAGCAGATTTGGAGGTCTTCAACTGGGCGGAAGGCGAGCCCGATGAAGGGACGCACGCCAACTGTCAAGGGTTCTCGCGAGACGGGGACTGGTACATGGCGGACACATCTTGTGTTAAACACAGTCCCGCGAACGACGTTGGGTATATCTGTGAGATTCCCGAATCAATGACAAACGGATAAGATGCTATGTTTAAGGTGGATCATAAACCTCAATAAGTCACCCAAGAAATAAACTGATAAAAATAATTCATTCTGTGTGTAATAATAATAAACATGTAATGTTTGTGTGTAGGGATAATCAACCTGTAATGTCTATTTGTATAGATAATAAACCTGTAATGTCTCTGTGTGTAATAATAATAAACATGTAATGTTTGTGTGTAGGGATAATCAACCTGTAATGTCTATTTGTATAGATAATAAACCTGTAATGTCTCTGTGTATTGATAATAAACCTGTAATGTCTGTGTATTGATAATAAACCTGTAATGTCTCTGTGTATAGATAATAAACCTGTAATGTCTGTGTATTGATAATAAACCTGTAATGTCTGTGTGTATTGATAATAAACCTATAATGTCTATATTTACTGATAATAAACCTCTAATGTCTATGTTTATTGATAATATAGATAATAAATCTGTAATGTCTATGTGTAATGATTATCAACCTGTAAAGTGTATGGATATAGACAGTAAACCTATAGGTAAATAATATCAATCTGTTAAGTTTGATTAGTCGGCCAACTTTACTTTGATGTACGTGCTTCTATACAAGTTTAATTTCCCCCGAAAGCAATTCAACCGTCACGTTCGACGATGCGGGCTCAGATCTAATTTGAACATAAACGCACCTGTCATTTTATTGCAGGCAAAAACGAACAACGGGCCCCAACTCCTGTTTATTTCACCACAGTTTAAAAAAAAATAGCATAGTTTGATTTAATTATTCAAATTATAAACTTAACTTATTTGAAACATCGGTATTTTGTGTTTTTTGTGTGTGGCTGTGACATGAAACTCTTCATTGGACAAGTGCTCATGATTCTCGTCAACTGATAATAAAAACTCACAATGACCTAAGTAGTTTGTGAATAATAAATAAAATAAAATGTTAGGACAATTCTGTGGAAGTTTCAATAAAAAGACAGGACAATAAGATATCAACGTTTCGGCGAAGAGCCTTCCCCAGCAGACATGACAAATGAAAATACGTCTATTCTCTATTTTCTTTTCGTATTTTCATTTGCCAAATTTAAAAAAAAAATAAAAAATGGGGAACGCTGGTCTAAAACAGTAAATCATTATTTCAAAATGTAATTAAGAATGAGCACCAGCTACTTGGTAAAAAAGGAATTAATCACACATGAAATATAGGGAAGAAACCCCCACACAGAACAAAAATGTGATTTGAAATAAATCCAACATGGCTTAAGATGAACCTGGACCATCTTAAAATTCTTATTCAAACATTTTAAATTTTGCCACCAGCACTATAGAAGTCTAGATATACTAAAATCTATTCTCTCTCTCTCTCTCTCTCTCTCTCTCTCTCTCTCTCTCTCTCTCTCTCATTCTCTCTCTCTCTCTCTCTCTCTCTCTCATTCTCTCTCTTTCTCTCTCTCTCTCTCTCTCTCTCTCTCTCTCTCTCTCTCTCTCTCTCTCTCTCTCTCTCTCTCTCTCTCTCTCTCTATATATATATATATATATATATATATATATATATATATATACACACACATATATATTTCGGTGAAATAAGGAGAGGATAATCGGGTTATGAGAATGTTATTGATCTGTTCAAGTCAACAAAGCAAAAAAAAAAAGATCAACTAGAACACACAAACTCGTTCAATGAACACACAAACTCATTCAATGAACACACAAACTCGTTCAATGAACACACAAACTCGTTCAATGAACACACAAACTCGTTCAATGAACATACAAACTCGTTCAATGAACACACAAACTCATTAAATCTGTTTGAAAGATACCCATCTTCAGTCAAGAGTTCAAGGTCACTGTTGTTCCCGTCAAAGGTCAGTAAATGTAGCGCAACAATTTAAAAAAAGAACCATCAAATCTATGGCAATGGATTTATTGTTTACCTTTTTTTTCGGGTGTGTTAGACCATGTTTTCGGGTGTGTTAGACCATGTTTTCGGGTGTGTTAGACCATGTTTTGAGTGTGTTAGACCATTTTTTTGGGTGTGTTAAACTAGGTTTTTGGGTGTGTTAGACCATGTTTTTTGGGGTGTGTTAGATCATGTTTTGGGGTGTGTTAGACCATGTTTTGGGTGTGTTAGACCATTTTTTTGGGGTGTGTTGACCATATTTTTGGGGTGTGTTAGACCATGTTTTCGGGTGTGTTAGACCATGTTTTCTACCAATGCTTAGACTGCTGTTAGCACAGAAGAAGTGTGCACATATTTCGTTAATTTCAATTGAAAACCTCAGTGCTAAAAGTCCATCCATCCACCCAGCCTTGTGGCGCTTCAGCCCTTGTGGGGCCTTGGCCTGTCTCACCACATCCTTCAACTCAGACATAACCGGTGCTTTTCTTTTCCACGCTTGGATTACCAGCTGCTTTAAATATATTCCCACATCATCCATCCGTCAAAGCCTAGGTCTGTCTTTGAGCCGTTTTCCTCTGGGGTTTTGGTGGTGCACCCTCTGTCATTCGGCATTCTTTCTAAGTGTCTTGTACAGCTTAGCCTACCCCTTTTTATTTCTACTACTAACCTTGGATCCTGATATTAATTCATTTCGTTAATTTATTACAGATCCTGTTAATCTGAATTTGATTATAAAAATACGTGTCACAAAATATTAATTTTTGATAAAATTCATAAAAAATATGCCTGGATATTTGTTGGCTATAAAAAACTGATAATTCTAATTTTTTGTGTTACTTTTTTTAAAATAAGGGACTTAGATACATTTTTAATCTGTAAAAACTTATGACCTACACTTAGTTCAACCAGATAAGAAAAGGTCACAGTTTAGATTGATTTTTTACACGCAAAAAAAATGTGACTGAACTACTTTTGACACCAGGGTCTTCAGATACGGTGTCAACTTTGTTTTCGACCCATAATTGCTTCACACAGTATGTTGTTGCTCCAGACTTAGCATTTACATGTATAACTGTAATGTTAGTGTTTCTCCTTTCATTAGCATATACTGTAATATTATCGTTATACCTTTCATTATTTACGAATTCTTGCAGCCTTTCATAGAATTCTCCTTTCATGAAATTTTTTTTTTTTTTTAATCGTCCAGTTTAAAGAATGGTATATATATTTTGTGTAGAAACTTAAAAAATAATTATTGTAAAATTTGGCTAATGATAATACATTGGTTGCAGTTTTTGAAAATGCTGGGAAAGAATCTTGTTGGTCTTCAAATCTTAAAAACGTTCAACGTGCTATACTTGTTTAATATATGCACAAATCGTATCTTCTTGTGAATCTAACTTGGGTTGATGGGTATGAGGCAATGGGTGGCCGCCCAAACCCTTGCCAATGATTAAAAATACGCGGCCCTGAGAAAGCCACCCCTAGGCGACCGTTTCGTCCCCGCTACGTCCCGACCGGACAACTCCCTGGGCGGTGGGGAGTGGTAACGCAACACCACCTCTCCGGAGAGGAAGTAAAGCCGTCCTGACCCATAGGAGAGTGGACTGCGGATGCTTTAAACGCAGCGTCCTCGGTCGACCGGACATCCCTCGGACCAGGAGTGGGGTTCCTGGCGTGTTTCCGCACGGTATGGAGCTTCGGCTCTGGCCCGTGTGGAGGAGTGCTGGGGGAGGGGGGTATTATTAGTGCAAACTCGACGACCCACCGACACCATCTCCAAAGCGACGCAATGAATCTAACTATTTTATAATCAACAAAGGTTCCAATAAGGATTACATTTTTAAATAAAAAATTTTACGATCCAAGAATTCTGTGATTAGATAAAGTACTATAAACGAGTGGGCAGCCAAAGATAAGAATGAACTACACCACCGCGGTACAGGGGAATATAGTGCTGGTATAAAACTGTGGTGGAAAACCAGAAGGTGACCGGAAAGAGATCTGTTTAGACAAATCTAGAAAAAAGATTTAAACTGTCAATTACGAACTTATATAAGTTTCCCCTTTAAAAAAAAATAACCGCCCAAAATGAGAAGATTGTGATTAGAAAAACATCAATTACATCACAAAGATAAGAAGCGTTTTTTATGTTTAATTATTATTTTTCATTTAAAATTAAAAGATTATTTGTGGCAAGACTTTCAGTGGCGGGGAATTTTCTTTACAATTATTGGTCATAAAACGAGAATTGTTCAATTTCTTCAATCACAATGTAAACACAATTAAATTATCAAAACGTTCCATAATAAAAAAAACAACAACCAATGTTTCGAAGTCATGGAGATGAAGATCACGTGACCGATTAACCGTTGTTAAAATAAGAAACAGCATTTCACCCTCCAACCCGAATCTGATCATATCATTGTTTTCATTCGTGCTGCACACCAAAGCGCCAACACGTCTTACACCGAGCCATGTTAAAAAAGGGAGAAGTTGGTGGGGGGTGGTGAGCTGGGAAATGAAACTCTTTAAAATGTGCCAAATTCGGGGAGGTGGGGTGGAGGCATAGAGCACTGACGGAATGTTGATTTAAAAGAAAGTTTTGAAAATTAAATCTCGACGAACATGGACGTTTCGAGAAGCAAGGAATCACCCTTGTCGCATAAGACAATCCACGGCCTCAACTGTGTTGCTCTGCGGCAAGACCTCGCCACTGAACTGACCTTCGAAACTAGGGTCAACATCTCGATAAAAGAGGAACTAGAAGTGATTTCAACTGAAGGTCAGCAATCGGAGACAACACTATTACGGACCTACTGTGTATATGCGACGTCTCAACTGAAATGTGTTCAATGAAATATCTTCTCCTTCTATCCGTGGCTGTGTTTGCTATAGCGAAAGCAGGTTTGGATACAATAAAATAGGACAGTAATTATTTTTTAAACAAACTGTTCGCAGATTTTAAAAAAAAAATGGATTCAATTTTTGTTTGTAGAAATGCAGTTACAAACTTAAAGCTTTAAAACCATTAGATCTATGTCATTTTACTATTTAAAAAAAAAAAAATTCTTATAATAAATGATTTAAATTTGTCGATTTTTAAAGAAAGAAAAAAAGTTATAAAATGAATTAATTCTGTTCTAAGAATTTCATTAATGTAATTAAAAGTATTCATGATCAAACTGTGACTTTCATAATATACTTTTATTAGTTTATAAATGATTAATTTCTGAACTGTATACGAAATCAGTTTAATCAAGCTAAACAATTTTTTGAGGGACAACAATCCAAACGTTACTTTTAAACCCCTCAGAATGTTATGTTCAGACACTGGTCAGCTTTGGTTTAATTATTTTATATTGTGTATAAACTAAATGCATGCCGGGGGGGGGTGGGGGTGGGAGGGTGGTGTGTGTGTGTGTTAATGCCTCTAAATTGGAAAGCATTACTCTAAACTGCGTGCACTTACGAGCAGGTACGGTCTTAAAGACCAACACACAACATTTTAGAGCGAAGACGATCAGCCAGGCCTTCAATTGTAATTTAATAACAACGTTTACTTTTTAAACATCACAGTGCAATAAAAGTATTCATTTTGAGCAACACAAACAGATTTCAACGAGAAGCCGTTTGTAATGATTACTTAAAATGGAAATAAATAACAAATAAAAGTATTCATTTTGAGCAACACAAACAGCTTTCAATGAGAAGCCGTTTGTAATGTTTTGCTTAAAATAATTTGGCTAAAGGCGCAAATATTGTGAAAATGATACACACACATATAATTTAACGTGTAAACGGCCTTATAAAATGGAAGTTATTAAACAAACATTTTCTCATATCCAAAAAACAAAACACGAACCCATCGTCCACTGTCCTTAAAAGATAAAAATTAATTTCATATTTTCTCTAAATATTTAAACTCAATATCCTCAGATTTGCTGATGGAAGTCAAACCCCCGGAAATTAACGTTGGGCTTACCAAAACACTTTCCATCAACTGTTCTTTTATTCGAACTGATATTTCAAACATGGTGTCACTCTTTTCTCTGGTCATCATGCGGTCCAACTCTACCGACAACATGCGTTTTTATTTCCTGGCCTCAGTGGACCTCTCTGACGGTCTCAATACCATTTCTGGAGATGTCTCGGGACTTATAGACAACAGACACGAATCGTACATAACGCTGACCTGGAAAAATCCTAGATCAAACTTGGCAGGGACGTACAGCTGTGAAGCTAATGGCCAAAATCTACACGGTCAGGCAGTCTCAATATCAAAGCTGGCGGATGTCAAAGCAATAAAACCGGATGTAGAAAACTTGTTAGATCTTCTCGAGCAGCAGTCTTCAATTCTCGAACATCAATCCTCTTTACTTGCGCTTCAATCATCCACATTTGAGCGCCAATCTTCTAAAATAGATCTTCAATCCACACAGCTTTCAAAGCTGCAAGACGAATTTGCAAAATTAAGCGCTTCTGTCAATGAAAAGTGCAGTTGTTGTGAGAGATTTAACAACTCTCTAAAATCTTTCTATCACATTTCCGACGCACATAATGGCAGTCGTTATTATCTATCTCCCGCGTCATCGATAATCGTGATGAAAGAAGCTGAGAGACAATGTGAATTACTGGGCGGGTATCTTACAGAGGTGGAGAGTGAAGATGAGTATCTGTTCATCAAGAACTTCGTGAAGACCTTTCAAGGGTATGACGATATTTATTTAGGGGGAAACGATGAAAATTCTGAGAACACCTGGGTCAACACTTACAGCAAAACACCCGTGAAGTACATCAAGTGGGGTCAACATCAGCCGGATCAGGGGAGATCATCAAATTGTCTTTCCTTATGGAAGTATAATGACTGGACAATGGCAGACGTTAAATGCTACCAAGGAGTAGCTGAAATGAAAGTAGGGTATCTCTGTGAAGTTCCCGAATGATAATAATATTCTAAGCTGTCATAATGTCACATAATTGTTCCCTTAAAAATAATAAAATTTTAAGATTTGTGACTGTTCATGTTTCTTTATTCGTCAAATTAACAAAAAAAATTAGTGTGTTTTATAATTTAGAGCTACTATGAAAGGTTAAATCAATTGTTACAATAATTAAATAAAAAAAAAAAAAGAATATAGCTCCATGGATTCTCAATTTAATTAAGTGTGTTAAAAATATTTGTGGCGGTATATCTCCCAACGTATAAAATTTTAAGATTTGTGACTGTTCATGTTTCTTTATTCGTCAAATTAAAAAAAAAAATTAGTGTGTTTTATAATTTAGAGCTACTATGAAAGGTTAAATCAATTGTTACAATAATTAAATAAAAAAAAAAAAAAAGAATATAGCTCCATGGATTCTCAATTTAATTAAGTGTGTTAAAAATATTTGTGGCGGTATATCTCCCAACGTACCTGTCTCACCACATTGTGTAAAACATCAAAAGCTATATTTTTATAATTTTATGGATATTAGAAAAAGAAAATCTCCCTCCCCACACCAGCGTAGTAGCCCAAATTGATTTTGCAGTATATAATTATAACTGTTTATCGTAAGTAATGATTGTTCAAGCGTCTGACAAAAGTCCCAAATTAGCTGTCAACCAGACACCTTCAACTGCGTTAAGTAAGTGAAGGCACCTTTTTAAAAGGAAGCAGGGCACACCAGACGGAAAATGTAGATAAGAGATACAGAAACTATTCCATATCAGCACTTTAATGTTTTTAACCTTATACGTTTCAATGAAAGTCATAAAGATGATACTTCTTCGCGTTGATGATACTTCTGTTACAAGGTGTTACGCACTGTTATCAGTAGGGAGAAATAAATCTCCTATTTAGATGAATGGCTTGCTCCAAAATATTACATAACAAGACGATACCACATGATAAAAAAAATTACAGTGAAATACGATACTCGAAACAGGGCTAATTACAATTAATCAGTTTTATTAAGTTAATGATACAGTACAAAAGTAAAAAAAGAAATATATTTAAAAACACTTAATTTACAGTATATTGTGTGGCTGGTACAAGTACCATGTCTAATAAAACACAATGTGCCTAAAAAAGGTACAACGATGAATACGAATTCAGACATACAAGTAAACACATCTCTAGCAAGAATAACTAACTCTGAAAATAACTCTCCCCTGTCGTCCCGTAAAGTGAAAATATCTCGTGATAAATGCTCTCCCAAAAATCGATCGTGTCCCCTTCTTATAGCCTGTTCTACTGATGCATCTGGAACAACCTTACGCATTGTTTTCCTTTCCAGCTTACTCCAGATTCTTCTACAGAATTCTAATAGAACAGACTATTCATTTTATTTAGGTCTAGAGATTATTTTTAGCTAGCCACACCTTAAATGCGGTCTCAAGCTTGCTTGGTGCCTGCTAGAGTTCATAAAGTAAACACGTCGTCTACATAACACAAGGTATGTCAAGTTCTAGTTAATTTGTATAATGTTATAAGATTATAATACTTTTGTTGCAAGGTATGTTAAGTTCCTTTTAATTTTAAACACATTTTTAAAATGTTTAATGACAAATATGAAAGCATACAGTGTGGGATATCTCATTAAATACTTATTGATAAACAGGAGGATACAGAGATGGGGGGAGCTCTACCTCTATATGGCTTCGGATAACACATTGGAAATGAAGGAAAAGGTAAAACATGGTATGGTGAAGTTTGCATAAAAAAGACAGGACAATAAAATGTGAACGTTTCGGCTTAGAGCCTTCTTCAGCGAACAGGACAAATTGAAGTACGACAAGAAAAAGACCACAGTAAAAAAAAACTTTGTTGTTGCCTGTAGTAGGATTACAGGAATTGAAAGAATGTAAATATTGGTACTTTGAAAAATAAGGTCCAGAATCTTAACGGACCAAAATACTTAGGGATACATAAAATCTAAGGAGTAAGAAAAAATACAGAGAAATAGAGAAACGTTACTAGGAGAGTATTTCATTAAAACCATATGGTAATATGGTGCCGAGAAGCTGAATAAATTTGTTTTCCATTTCAAGTCTCTTTGAAGTGTTGGTACAGGACGTCAGGGTCGTGATGAATACACCTTATGCACCTTTATGTTTATCTCTGATGATATGTGAAGAGACTGGGGAAATTGTACCTTGGGACCATGCTGCTTGGCTCCGCCACAATAATTTTTTAATAAAGTAATAGTCGCCCTCAGTTCAGGTCCCTGTTGTGGTCTTACCTGTTGAGGTTGGACTTAGTAGAGCAATGTTGCCCCGCATATAAGTTACCACGTTGTGGAGCTGATATTTTAATTTCCGCCATGGATCAAAATAGCTTGTTCAGGGAATAAATGTAGAAAATCTTCCACCGGATTGTAGACCATTCCATACCCAAACTAACATATTTTGCACTTCATGTGGTTCGTTCTTATTTTTATGAGGTATAAGTGGATTAGTGAATGCTATTTAGCTATGGAGTAGCGCTGCACTTATTGACTTAAACCGCATTTTCTTATTAGAATTATATTTAAAGGTTAGCTTTTATTATATTGTAAATTTAAGCATATTTTTGGAATACAAAAAGGCAAAACTTTTTAAATACAAAAATATACAAAGCAAAAATATGTGTGTTTTATTAATAATTTTAAAAGCAATCAATTGTATTGATTAATTTTACTTTTAAAGAGGGAAAATACATTTTCAGTTTTGTCATGCGCGGTTATTAAACTTGAAGAAACCTAAGAGTTTTGGAGAAATAAGCTATTCGCGCTATTACGTCATTTCATTGATTATTTAGAACAAATAAATTTTACTTTTAATTCACAATAGTAACAAGGCACTAAAAGACGAACTAAAAATGAATGATGCTTGGGTTTTCCCGATAAATGTGATTACGGTGTAATTCTTTGATCATGTTTTTTTATTTTCTCATAGCTTTCAAACACATATAAAAGACTTAAAATAGTTCCTTAGTTGATACTTTAAATTTATTTGTAATTTATAATAATATAACTTTATTTTTTTAATAAAATAAAAGCGGATTTAAAATATTTTTGCGCATTTAAATTTATTCGATTTCCGTAAAATAATAAAAAATAACTATGATTTTTTTAGGAATCTGAACGTACTTAAATCATATCTCCCTTTTGGCGTTATGTCACTCTAGCTAATTCTTATATATATGTTTAGAAAATTGATGGTTAAAGTTTAAAAAAAAAATGTTTTTTTATTTCCTCTGGGGGGGGGGGGGGGGAAGAATAAAAAAAAAAAAAAAAATAGGGGGGAACCAAAAAAATTTTTAAAAAAAAAAAAAAAAAAATTTTTTTTTTTTGTCTTGGGGGGGGGGGGGGGGGAAGTATATAATAAAGAAAAAAGAATTCAGGGTACCACAAACAATTTTTCAAGAAATAAGAAAATAAAATTTAATCTGAATTGTTCTTGTGATGAAATCGAGCTGGGCATTAATTCTTTTATACTCCCCCATTTTCAGGAAATTCTTGTGTAAAAAATCAAATTTAACAATAAAGCAACTCGAAATGGTATAGTCACTAATCGGCATTTAGAAGGAGGAGATCGATATATCACATTCCACGGTCGAATGGCGCTCTATAACACCCGTCAGTCAAATAAAATTTCTTTTTTTTCTTGGAAAGTGGTAAACCGTCTGTTTTCTAGGGTGCCACATACGACTCCGGCGGGAACATAATCGAATCTTTGTTTGTTTCTTAAACAATTTTTGATTAGTATTTCTTTATTTTACGTTTTTAAACTTGGATTTTTTGTTTCTAAGCTTATGGGTTGTGAGGTAGTTTGTGATATGGCTTCCATTAATAGAATAGGAGAGAGTTTTTTTGTGTGAGTAAGCGTGAAAAAAAAAGAAAACAAATACATGTATAGAAAAAATTTAGTCTATAAAAAGGAATTTAGTTTTTTATTATTTAAATTGACATTTTTTCTTTCGTCTGGCTAAACGCTCGAGTATCGAGATTGTTGACAATTTATTTTCTACTACTTCTCAGCTAAGTGCTATTTTAAATTTTATTATCTTTTTTTTCTGTTGTTTGCTCGATGACGAAGGCTTCTTTGCGATACATTCGTTGTTTTGTTGCGTTCCCTTTTCAGGTTTAGCCTTATTTTGTTTTACTCATTTCATATTCTCGGGAAGGAGGTAAATTATCTATTCTTGAGAAAGACGTAAACCATTTATTCTTTTGAAAGAGGTAAACTATCTATTATTGAGGAAGAGTTAAACCATCTATTATTGGGAAAGAGTCAAATCATTAATTCTTGGGGAAGAGGTAAGCAAACTTATGGACGAGGTAAACAGGAAGAAAACAGCCTCATCCATCAAAGCCAACTGGATTTAAGAACATCTGTTTTTCTGATCAAAATTAGACGTTCTTTGACCACTTACATTATGGATACTAGAAGAAATAAAAAAAAACCCACACTGATATTATGTCAATATACCGTATAGCATACGGCGACTGGCGATAGATCAGTTTCTTGAGAGTCGATCTACCTTATAGCATACGGCGACTGGCGATAGATCGGTTTCTTGAGAGTCGATCTACCTTATAGCATACGGCGACTGGCGATAGATCGGTTTCTTGAGAGTCGATCTACCTTATAGCATACGGCGACTGGCGATAGATCAGTTTCTTGAGAGTCGATCTACCTTATAGCATACGGCGACTGGCGATAGATCGGTTTCTTGAGAGTCGATCTACCTTATAGCATACAGCGACTGGCGATAGATCGGTTTCTTGAGAGTCGATCTACCTTATAGCATACGGCGACTGGCGATAGATCAGTTTCTTGAGAGTCGATCTACCTTATAGCATACGGCGACTGGCGATAGATCAGTTTCTTGAGAGTCGATCTACCTTATAGCATACGGTGACTCGCGATAGATCCGTTTTGTTTTAAGATGATGTGCATTTTCTACAACTTCATTGATGTTTCTATCTGTCTGATCTAAAACTGTGTTATATCGAAGCTTAAGGCGCATTGAAATGGTCATCAGTGACAGCT